ATTTTTATACATATTAAAAATATTTTACTGACTACTTTATATCACTGAGACAGATCAGGCCAGTCTCACAATTTCTAGCCACTGCAGGAATGTCCTGTACAAATATTCTCACATCATGTCCAGTCTGGTTCTAAACCATTTAAGCAATAAGCTTGCAAACTATACAACTTAATCAGTCCTGATACATACTGATAAATGATGTATATTTTCCCTTTTACCTTGCAGAGCCAAATTGGAGCATGGAAGAAAAACTCTCCATAATGAACTCCAGATTTAACAAACGTGTCCTCATTGACATGTTTGTATGGAATGATGACCGGGATTCCAGCAGACACATAATTTATGTAAGAAAAAAATTGCAGGGAATTATTTATATACCAGAATCATAATGGATAGATACAGATTAGCTTTCCATAAGTCAGTGGGTATGCACTATACTGGCAAAAAAAAAAAATTATGCAACAGTTCTGTACCCCAAGTGACAGATCTGTCTCAAAGTCATATTGGGAAACATTTTATGGTAGCATAATTCTTATTTCAGTTAAAGAAATTAAAAAAAAAAAATTAAAAAAATCAATGGACCTTTGCTGATTGACAGCAAAGGGTTGTAAATTCTTGTGACTTGCAAAATGATGGTGAGGTTTAATACATAGCAGGAAACCATATTTTTGAAACATGTAAATAGTATTTCAGAGTGCGTTTGTGTATGCTTATGCATGATGTCTAGACCTCAAGTCAAGCAACTTCTTTTCTAAGGTGCTTAAATTTATTCTTAGATCTCAATGGTTACTGAAAGATTTTGCTTAATAACCCACACTAAGTATCCATCCTGTCCTTATCTAGAAATCCGGAGACAAAAGTTGTACCTTCCATCTCACCCCTGTTCCTAGAAAGCTAAAGCTCTTTGATTGTTTGGTAAGAGTGTACTATTGTCGTTGCAACACTGAAAGGATGGCACATGCAGCATTTCGCGTTGCCTTTCAAGGAAACCTTTGGACAACACCAGTTCTGTTCATCACTAACTAAAGAAATGTATGATTTCCTTCAGATTGACCAGCCAAGTTTAGGAATGCCATCCAGGGATTACTACTTTAATGGGGGCAACTATCAAAGAGTAAGTATTTCTTGTAATTTATTTACTATGTGCTACTAAAACAACTTTATTCCTTATCTCTGTGTTTCGGAAAACTCAACTACGTGACTCTTCATGTTATGTAACGATCAGAATTAGACTCTGACATTTGTTGTTAGTTTTTTTCCCCGATTGTGCCAAAATTTTGTGAAGTTTACAAAAGGACTGAACAACTGTATAAATATCAAGCCTCCCCAGAACTGGCCAAGTCATACAGATGAGAAGGTTATGGCAAAATAAAATCATCACATTTTATAGTTTAAAATAGTCTCTATTTTTGAAGGATAGGTTCACATTTTCAGTGCAAGTTATCTGGGATTCACTTGTATCTTCTAAAGCCATTAGTTCTGGCTACTGTTTTACAAGATGCTGGAAAGATGGATTATAGATATGGAAGAAGAATTGTCATACTGGATCATATCTGAACATACAATACTGCAAAATACATTTTGCTGAACACCAAGATATTCAGAATTTTTCACATGTTCATTCATGGGAAAAAGTTAAAAAATTAAAAAAAAAAAAGTGTTTTATATGGAGCAGCAAAAGCTATATCAACAGAACAGATACTCAGCTAGTAAGAATCTGCTGCCACTTACTCCCCCCTTTCCCCCAAATTACATGACAGTTGTGAGAGATTTTCTAGCTGCTTTTCTCTGCCAATGCTCAGAGCAAAAAGTGTGTTTCTGTAAATACACAGAAAGCTGTTGCAAACATAACCAGATAATTTATCAGTTTCCAAGATGAAAATACTGCTTTAGTACATTTTTTTTCCCCTCAATTATGTCATACTAACAAAGAGTATTTGCAGCCTAACATCAAACTAATTTTCCTAACACGAATGGAAGGGAATACAGAGAGACAGCAATCAGCATTTTAGACTCTTTTGTCTAGTGGTTGTAAAGGCAGATGAAAACATCAGTGCGACTAGTTTTCTTCTTACTTCAACATATTTGACTATGTTCTCATATATAATATAGTCCTGCAAAGTTTTTACGAGATTGGCAGCTTATAAATATGTGGAAACAATTTCCGTTAATCTGTCTCATGATACAAAACAATCTCCACGTAGTTGTGTTGGGAACTGCAGATAGCTGCTGGAGCTAGGATTCTATTCTGCAAGTTTCACCTATGTTGTGGCAGTTACAGTAGAAAAAAAGGGATATTTATGCATCGTTGCATGAAAGTCAGGCTTAGATTGACTTGTAGGAGGTAGAAAATCAGGTACAGTACACAGACGATCCTAAATTAGCAAAAGAAAACCAATACTACTTAATACAGTTTTAATTTGAAGCTATAAAGAAGAAAGGCTAAGGCTGTGTTTTTAATCTTAATGAATAAGGAGGAGACACAACCCCTTTTTATTTGCTATTTAACAGCTCACTTCCCACAGACAATGAACCAAACTCTGATGACCCAAACTCCCCCTGTGCTTAGTCCAGCATCTTTTGGCAAAACTCATGCTGAGGCCTGTGGGAGTCTGGCCTGATTAACGCCTCAGCATTCAGCCTAAAAACACAAATCATCATCATGTAAGTGCCCAGACTCAATTTCACAACAGTTACTGTATTTATCTGGTTTCCAAGGTCTGTGGAGGATGAAGAGTATGTAGGTAGTATTAAGCTTTCCTGCATCAGAGATCAGTACTCCCTCGGCAGGCAAATATCTTTTCAAGGTCCGTTCTGGGGCATAAATCACAGCCATACCCTCCTATTAGAAATAAAGCAAAGGTATCACTGGGAACCATCTGAGACAGATCTTTTATTTCAGACAGTAAAAGCAGAGAGTTTACAAGACATATGGTATTACTTTCAGAGAACTTAAACCTTCCATGTTTACCCTGGTCTTTTGGCTAGCAGGCATCACTATTCCCACAGCGTAACTCAAAGCACAGAGCTTTCTCTTTGCCCAAGTAGTAATTCTAATCCAGAATGCCGGAGAGTTGGATTGCACAGGGAAGCAGAAAGCATTTCTTTCACTATGTATTTTGAGGCTGGCAACTGCACTGTAAGGTATTGCAGGATGAACTTAGGTCCTAGGTATTGCAGTGGTGTCTATTATAGTAGGAAAAAAAAAAAAAAACCCACAAGAAAAGTGGAGTGGGGAGGGTTGCATTGGAGACAAGGGCAGAGGCTGTGACCCCTGGGCCAAACTTCTTCACAGCACACTGTAAAGCTAAATAACAAAAAGAATGGTTTGCTGAATGAGCAGTGATAGACAGCAAACCTTTTCTTCACAATGCTACATGCGTTCCGTTTCTTGTGCGCAGGTGAGAGAAGCTTACCTGCAGTTCATGATCACCGTTGCCAAAATGATCCGGGAAGACAAGAATACGTCTAAAGATGATTCCTTTGTCCAAGAGGAAATGACAAAGGTTATGGAGCTTGAAACAGAGATTGCAAATGTGAGTACAGAAATCAAGAACTTCCAGGATGTGGGGGGGGTGGGCAAGGGGTGAGGGGGACAGTCTTGCTCTTTTGTGCAGCAGTTTTCAACAGAGCAGAAAGCTCATGGCCTAGAAGAAAGCAGAGGGAATAAGACTGCTTGTGCCATGAGCAGCCCAGAAGTCAGAGCCTCTGTGTGTGTAATTATGTCTACTGTATACACTGCTGCTGTGTATGCTCTAGTCCTAGCCATATTTATTTTTGGGAGTCTCCTAAAGCAGGATAATCTATCTTCTGCTAAACCTACACTATGATAACAAGAGGGCTAGCTCCCTTGCATCCTTAGAAGTCTATAGCACCGCTCCCCCCCCCGCCCCAAAAAAAAAAAAAAAGAGCTTAGTCTTGCATGCTAAAGAGAATAGAGGGAACCACTTGGCTCAACATATTACTGAAACGTTATTGAACTGGGGGCGCCCAAGTTCCTATACTGAGATTTAGAAAACAGCACCAGATACCTTCAAATGAACTTTCTTTTCCAAAATAAACTGTTTTATTCGCATATTATTTGAGTGTGTATATGTGCATGCAAGTGATTTCGGCCATTGACACTTGTCAGTTGATTCTAGTAATAACCTTGTGAATGTCTTCAGGCAACTACCCCAGCAGAAGAAAGGCATGATGTAACCTTGTTGTACAACAAAATGACCTTAAAAGAGCTACAGGAAAAGTTTGCATTGAACGTAAGTATTTAATGAGCAGTCTAATACTTTCAGCCTCCTCTTATTACCATGCCAATTGAAAATGGCTTTGTGAATTTATCAGTGATGCAACAAGGAGAGGTATAAAATCATTCCCATTCTTAATCTTGTCTTCAGAGTCTCTTAAAAAGCATTTTTCTACTGAACAACACTACAACTACATTCAATCCCATAGACTGTGCAAAGTCCAGACAGTTAGTAAAGGCACTTGAACACCTAGCATTGGTATGTGTCTTTCTGTCTGCCTAGGAATTTAACTGGACCTTCTTCATCCAAGGTGTCATGTCTTCAGTAAGCGTTCAGGTTGACCCAGAAGAAGAGGTTGTTGTATATGGCGTGCCCTATCTGCAAGAGCTGAAAGCAATTATCTCAAAGTACTCAGCAAGGTAAAGAAACTGGAGAATATCCAAGACAAGTGTTACGGAAGTATTGTGGAAATGTAAATTATTGGGCCCGCTTGCTAGTTCTGCCAGAGCTTCTGCGAGAAAAGTGACACCACTTCACCGTAAAATATGGGTGATGTCTTCTAAGGCCTTAGGGTGCCAAAGTACTGTGGTACTAGGTGTGTCACCCACTCACATGCTTAGAAAAGGTTAAATAGGAAGAAAAAAAATACGTTACAGGCTTAGCTCTTGTTACACTCTAGAAGGGAAAAAAAATTAGTCCCTGAACAGACGTGGTGGTACAGTCCTCGGTCTGGATGCCTCTACAGTTAGCCAGCCTGTTAAATAAGAACAGTCACCTGTAGATGCTGTGAAACTGATGACTGCCAGCAATCAGTTGCTTTCTTATCTCCACTCAAAATTAAGATTCCCCCCTGACTGTCTGCACTAGTGTTGCTTTTTACGTGGGATTAAACTCAGCTTTGCTTTCCCACACAGCACCATCCAGAACTACCTCATTTGGCGACTGGTAATTGATCGAGTCAGCAGCTTGAGTCGGCGTTTCAAGGATGCTCGGGCCAGCTACAGGAAGGTATTTCCTCTCTTCCTAAAGAGACCGTAGAGCACAGTACTGGAAGAGAGTCCTGCAGTCACCAAAACAAGTCCTTGTCAATACAATTACGTTATTATGTCATGCAATCCCCAAATCAATCTAAGAACAGCAATCACAACAATGGAAACCTTTGTCTTGGGTTAACCTCCTCTTTAGGCAATGATTTAGAAGAGAGATGCGCAGGCAGAATTAATCCTGTGGTGTTTCATCTTGCAGGCACTTTATGGGACGACGCTGGAAGAAGCCCGCTGGAGGGAGTGCGTGAGTTACGTCAACAACAACATGGAGAATGCAGTGGGAGCAATGTATGTCAGGGAGACATTTGCTGGTGAGAGCAAGAGGATGGTATGTAGTTTACCCTTCGTATTATTGTACATCCACAATGTCTACAGTGCCCTTTCCCCTCCATCTGATCTCCCAACCTATTTTGTCTGTTAAAGACACCAATCAGCCAAGAGTCAGAAGGCATAAGAACTCATTTATGATGCTCTTTTAAATGCCGAGTACCATGTTTTAGAGCATAGAATTTGGGGACATCATCTTTCAGTAGGAAGCTTTTCACCCTTCCTTAGTTGTGCCTCAAAAATAGCATGTAAATGATTAATTTCTTACTGCCTCTCTTTTAGGTCCGAGATTTAATAGATAAGATTCGTGAAGTGTTCATTGAGACTTTAGATGAGTTACAGTGGATGGATGAGGCATCTAAAGAGAAGGCTCGTGAGAAGGTCAGAGATAATAAGGAACTTCAGTATTCTGTCATGAATATAAAATCTTTGGAGTTTTGTAGCAGCACTATTCCCAGTTCCTCTACAAATGAGAGGAAAAAAACCCCAAACTATGCTGTTATCCATTATCCTATTACATTGTTCTTTTCTTTTTAATCCTTTGTTAGCTCATACATTTTTATTTCCTCTGATAAGTCTTGTGAACCATGTTATAAATGGGGAGAGAAGATGGCACCCAATGCATCAACTAGAATGACAGCTGAATACAATGCAGGCCCCCAAAGAAAACTTTTCAAACTTTTCATTGACTTTAGGACTATCAGCACTGTTCCAATAGCAAGGAAAACAAAAGGTACTAAATGAGGGTTAAGCCCAATCCCTCTCAGATGGCGCTGTAGGGTCTGCAAGTCTACCATAGTGGCTGGACACCAAGAGATGAGGGGAAGACTGTATGTTCCATATTAAAAACAAAAAGTCTCACTAAGCAGCAGGGTGCATTTGAACAGAGTCTTTAAATATTTGCATCCAGTTTCTCACAAACAGGTAGACAACAGCAATAAAGAATTTGAACTATTATATGTATTGAAACTTAAAAAAAAAAAAACCCACAAACAGAAAACCCACAATTAACAGGAAACATTAAACTCTTCTTCTAGGCAATGGCAATTAAAGAACAAATTGGCTATCCAGATTATATTTTGGAAGATCAGAATGAAAAACTAGATCAGGAATATGCCAATGTAAGTATGCTGTGCATACATCAGTAAGTACCTCAATATAAGAGCCTACACTTATTTTCTTGCCACTTGGAATACTTATACCTGTGCAACTGTCATTTTCAATTGACTGGACAGCATACGAACTTGATAGTGTTGAACATTTTATAAATAAATGCATGCAAAGAGCTAACTATTAAGTGATACCTTGCAATCAAAATACTTTTTACAAGATACATCCAGCGGCATGAGGAATTCCTCTTTCTGCACAGCTTACTAATATACTTGGATATCTGTTTCTTCAGTTAAACTTCAGTGAACACAATTACTTTGAAAACATTCTGGAAAACCTGAGAGCTGGAGCCCAAAAGAGCTTGAAAAAACTTCGAGAGAGAGTTGACCAAGATATGTAAGTTTCCAGACTCCATGCTACAGACACAATCTAAATTCTGAAATGATAGTTATCGTGTTTAAGTCATGTGCTGTGGATAGCTAAGAATGCTTATGTCTGAGACCTTCCAAGTTATTTCCTGGAATTAAACAAGTAGTTCGTTGCCTCTTGTGGTAGGAATTCATCCAGTTCTCTTGGAATCTCTCTAATCCTCCATCAAACTGCTTTACATTCAGATATTACATTGAAGCTACTTAACACAAAAGCAGTGACAGATCTTTCTGACAACTCAGCAAAAAGGAAAGGAGATAGGCATGGAACTTCTAAAACTTTATAATCGGGGGAAAAAAAAGCTTAAAATATTCTGGCCAGAATTCTGTTGGAAATATGCCCAATCTTGGGGGAGTTGAGCACCAGATCTAATTTATGTCCATTTCCAGCCGATTACTTCACACTGCACCTAGTAAAGTGTAAGTGTATTTTGCAGAAAGTGCCTGTCACAGGTGCAGGTTTGGCTGCTTCACGATCCCTTCTTTGACTCCATGGATGGATGCATCCCGAGTAAGTCTCAGGTCTTAGCCTGTATTGCCCTAGCTGTTACCTCACAGTTCTCTGCTCTTAGGCAAATCCTCAGCTAGTGCTAGTCTTAAAACAAAAGTAGCACGTTCATAAATTGTTAGTAACAGCTCCAAGGTGAGCAGTTGGCATCACTAACCAGCAAGAAGCATGACTACACAAGATCACCAGGACAACCCCTCCAGTCCTTCAAGTGCAGTTGAGCTCCTGCCAAGTCCATGACATGGATACGTCCCAGAAGCCCTGGCTTGCATGTTCAGCAACAAATGCCTTGGAATATGACCCGATTTCCAGAGCTATGAGCTAGCCAATCTGAACTTTTCATAGTCCAGTTAGCCAGGTTGGAGGTGTCTAGCTCAGGAAGCTGTCTGGCAAAGCTACTGCTGAATACGTTAGTGACAGATACACTGCGATGGAAGGCAGACGTCAGGAAGCTAACACCAACTGGATGTGTTGTTCACTAGTAGGCTGCCAGCCCGTGTGATGCCAGAAGAGAATGTCTTGAGACAAAGGAAAGTAGATTCCAATAAGAATTTAAAAAACCTCTTCACAAAATGTAGAATAACACAGAGTTATTAATAAGCAAGCAAACAAACCTCCAGAGGGAAGCATTAGTCAAATTAATTGTTGCAAAGCCTATTAATTTTTTTCTATTCCTTTTCCTGTGAGGTGGTTTTAACTCAAAACGCAACCACACAGTGCAGCCACTTAGAAGCCTCCAGTGAATTACTGATGAATAATTCACCAAGAGTTTTCAGATCAGTCAGCTAAACAACAGAGCATTTTTTCCCGTTTCCTCATTTCTTGAGGAATCAATCATGGTGCTTTTCATAGCAAAAATTCTTGCACAGCATTGGTGTTCTTAATCCACAAACTGTGTCATAGATCACTGCTGCCTTTTACAGCCCGTCTACAGAGACGGATGGCAGCCCTGTAAATAAAAGTCCCAATTCCTCTGCTCGTTCTAGGTGTGGTTTAAGCACATTTGTGGGAACCTTTTTATGGATTCATGAATTAGGCCTTTGCCTGGTAGTTTGATGAAATGCCAATAATTTGCACTTTTTCCATGTAATGAACTACATCTTTCTAGTGATGTCTCGCCAGTGGCTTGAAGAGTTTCCCCAGGGAGACATAAAACCACTTATCACTCCAGATCACTGTTTAATTAAACTGAAGGAGAATATATAACTAATATTGCTGATACTATTAGCTAATCATTGCAATTAAGAAAGTTAGCCATTGTTCATAATCATAGCCTTCTTGGGGGGGGAGAGGGGTTAGTTATTACAAGCTACACAGCCAGCTACAAACATTTCATGTCAGGCATGCCAAGGAGAAGCTTGTGGACCAAGATTGCCTTTTCACAGCCGACTGGCCTTCAGAGCAAAACTGTTTTGAAAAATTCTCAAGTACCCCCTCGAATTCAGGAACAGATTCCTACTCCCTCTCTATGTATGCATTACACGCAGGTTAGTGGCAATATCATCACAACCCATTTCTACCACTTATTCCTGTTCCCTGGCTGAGATGAGCAGTCCTCTATTCTGTTAGTCCACAACAACCAATGTTTCAAAAATGGAAAGATACAGACCTGTGCTGTATCTCTTAAGGAGGAAATCTGATTCCATTCCAGAGCAGCCCACAAGCAGTTAGGTCAAAGTAACGGCAGATACAGCAACTAGGGCATCACAAGACGCTCTAAGGACAAGAGATGAGGGAAGAAGAATGGCTTAGGCTGATGCTGCTGAACACCTCTGATAAGTTCATGGCTTCAGACTGTTATTGCATAGCTCATTAGAGCAGGGTGACTAGAAGTGTGTGTCAGAGGTAGAAGAGAGGGGAGGAGAAAGAGAAATACAAAGAATAAGAAATTATCAAACTATTAGAGTTTCCAGAAGTAGCCTACTTGAAAATTACTTCTCAAAGTTAACACTCATTATCTACGAAATATTGGACTCCAAATGCAGACATTTATGTATCTGGCTGCAATTGCTCAGTTTTAATTTTTCAAAGTTTGGTCTTAACATCCAATTTGAGTAACTGCCTTCTGCCGCTCAAAATGTCCTCTAAATGCTAATTTTCTTTTGAATGCAAACTATTTGTTTCTTCTCAAGCTCAGATAGTGTTAAGATGAGCTGGTAAACAGTTACCACATTCCACCCCAATGCGGCTGTTGAACAGTCAAGAGCAAAAACATTTCTCACTTTAAATTGGCATCGTTTTGGGTGAAAGGTGCCCATAAATGAGACACCAGTTATTTCCTGGTATTAGTGTTTCATGACAGCTGTGTTCAATGGCACCCTTCTTCCCTACCTCAATCCTTCCTCTATATGCAGCCTGCATTTTTTAACAATAATAATTCAATAAAAAGATTGTCTAAAAAAATCATGACTAACTTTGTGTGCAACATTTATTTTTAGATGGATAATTGGAGCTGCAGTGGTCAATGCATTCTATTCCCCCAATCGGAACCAGATAGGTAGGTTTACAACAGCTGCATGGAACTAATTCATCGGTTTTTTGCACCACAAGGGTGCAAGCCTGCTATCCAGAGGCAAACCTGCCTGCGCCCTTATGGAAATTCTGGGCAAGGTAGACAGGCTGTTCTTTTCAAGCAGTTGCTTTGTGGATGAATATTCAGCTCCCCCCACCGCTTGGCAGGCGCAGTTCATATACTGTAACTGGAACAGCCGTGTGTTTGAAAGCCTGAGACAGTAACTGCAACTACACGAGCGCCAGCTTCAGAGACCAGAGAATGCTTGCAGTGTGTTCTGGGCTGTTTGTACTCATGTTTCCACATTCCTGATAAACATACGGGCAGCTCTCCAGTTTGCTGTCTGTACAGACGGTACCGAGTTCTACTGATAAGAGGCATACCAGGCTACAGAAACCTGCCTCTGCTTAACAGAACGTCAGATCTGTGACTTTTTGCAGAGTGGCTGGGCTGACCTTTCTTGTTCTTAGCAGAGAAGATCATCTTCAGATGCTAAGGCACAGTGAACCTGTCTGGCCCCCCGTGCTCCCTGATCTCTGAGCTGGTGCAGGTGGCCAGAAGTCCAGGTTAAGCCTGCAGATGCTGTAGAGTCTGCGCTGAATTCTGAGCACCCCAAACAGGAGAGGAACCAAGTAATTTCTACTAAGTAGTGCTCATTCAAATTCCCAGGCTGCCAAGAAGATCTACTATCCAAGTACTGCCAAATACCGTAAGAGGAAAAAATCCATGCCTTTTTTAGGCCAGATAGCAAATGTGTCCTGCTCACAGGGCAAAGGCCAGAAATGGAAAACAACCCAGCCAACCATCCATCACAAGGGAAAACTTAGATAATTGCTAAAAGCAGAAACATCCAAAGGGCTCATAATCTAGCCCTCTAGCCTCATCAGAAAGAACTGTTTTCCATTTGTGTAGCTTCCACTTACCTCCATACTGCAGGTCCAGTAAAAGCTGCAACCAGTCCTCCAGCCATAGCAGGGCACTCCCTTAGCTTGCTACTGCATGTCATTCATCTTGGAGCTATCCTTGTAGTCAAGCTCAGGCTCCCTATTTTTCCAGGGTGGTTTTACGCTGATCGTAATCAGCTGTGAGCCAGCTTTCCAGGGAGGGAACCCAGGTCTTAAAGAAGACTGGTTCCTCTACAACTTTGCCTGTGTAAGTAGTATGGAAGTAACTGGTTTAAGCAACTTGAAGATGAATATGCCAAAGATGAATATGCCAAAAATCCAAGCGTAGCATTATACCCATGCTAGTGCAGATGTCAGTTAAATCCTGTTTCTTCCTGTCTCTAGTTTGAGGAAAATAATCTTTCAGTTTCCTGCTTCTGTCTTACTGTAGTTCTGTCTTACATATTTCTCTCCAAAATGGTACAGATAAAACCTCTATATAGTCAAAAAAGTTCTTGTCTCTAAATGAAATATTTGCTATATAATTTCAATAACTCACTTCCTAGAAAGTATCTTATTAGAATGAACTTCTTGCAGTCCTTAATTCCTCTAGAAGTGTATATGCTTTTCATCTTATGTACATGGGATGAAGACTAAATGCCATTGATTCTATAGAAGGCTTTCACCAGTAGACTGAAGGAGGACAGACCTCCTACTGCCCCCCCCTCGCCCCAGCCTGGCATCCAAGTGCACTCGGTGGTCTGTAGGAATGACTGCTGTGCGTGTTTTACACACCAAGTATTGTGGGTAATCAGCATATGATTGCCAGCCTTTCTTTAACAGCAATAAAGCAATAAAACATCCATTAGTTCCCTTATAAAATGGCTCTAAAACACAAACTGTACTTATCTCTGTTACTAAACATTTTGTTCTTGACTTACTGCAGCATACGTTATAGACCAAATTAGGCTAAAGTTGAAATGTAAATGATGCTTGGTTCTCAAACAAGGAGATATTGCAGTTGCAGATTAAACCTTTATTAACTTGCCATTTTCCATTTATCAAGAGAAACAATTTCACATGAGGAGGCATGATGTTGTTTCTCATCATGTTATATTTTATGTTCCTTCCTGATCCTTAAACCAAGCAAACAAACTGTCTGCAAAGTGTGCAAAAATAAAGCTACCTTACAGCATCCTCCTCTCTCTTCCCCTCTTTGCAGTTTTTCCTGCTGGGATTCTACAGCCCCCCTTCTTCAGCAAACACCAACCACAAGCCCTGAACTTTGGAGGGATCGGGATGGTTATTGGGCATGAAATTACTCATGGGTTTGATGACAATGGTGAGAAGATAACTGAGAAAATATTATTCTTTCAGTTGCACTCATTGCACCATAAGAAATTAAAGTTACACACTGCTGTGACTGAAGTATCCGTGCACACACGATCACACACCCGCTAAGTCACTATCTGGGAGCAATACAGGCACATTATTAACATTGTGTTGAACACTCTGTAGTGGGTGTTTCATGAAATAAGCAGGTCACACAAGAAGTAAGCAGATGTTAAAAACAAATTCAGTCAATGACAATTCTCAGGAAAAGCTGTTACTTTTGCAGCATTGTCAGACTGGAAATACAATGCAAGCAGATATGCTGGCTCCTAAAGTAAAATGCAATCTGTGAACTACATTCTTGGGATAGAAAAGCTGTCGGTAGTGTCTTGAAATCACAGGAGACTTTTTTTGTTCAACACAAACGTTTGAAATAAATTGACTTTATTACCTTTCTAGAATGCTATGTAAAATAGTTTTGGGCAAAAAACTCACTTCTGATACCGTAAGCCAGTGTTTTCTTATACATGGGTTTTCTTCAATGTGGTTTTTTTATGTTAATTAAGCTGGTGCAGATTACACATAGGCACACAGTATAGCCTCAGAAATCAACATCCATAGGAAATAAAAAGCATGCTCTAGCCAGAGAGCTGAGAACACAAACAGCAGAACTTCAATTCCAGCTTTCTCCTGCTGTGGCAAAGTAATAAATTCTCTATGAACCTCAGTTCTGTCACATGGACACAAAGAATAAGCACCTTAAACACCTCAAAGGTGGTGGTAATTTTTGTTACGTGATCTCTGCATAATCCAATTTGAAACAAAACTAGGCCTTAGTGCTAAAACTGAAGTCAGGGCTGCTGACTGAAGAGAAAATCGTGGAATAATAGAGAATAGAGATGAAAGGACCGCAGCTGATCTTGTTGATTCCCGTGTGCCAAAGGAGAATCAACGGAGCCAAAAGCATTTCTGATAAATCTCTGTAGCACAGACCATCTAAATCAAAGGAGGAAAGAGGGGAGGAAGTGCAGCTTTAACATTAAAAAGAAACAGGTGCTACACTGGAAGAATGGTTGCTTTAACATGTTCTCACTCAAAACATTCCCTTTTTCTTGGATTTTCATACAGGTAGGAATTTTGATAAAGATGGAAATATGTTTGACTGGTGGAGCAATTTCTCAGCTATGCATTTCAAGGAGCAGTCTCGTTGCATGGTTTATCAGTATGGGAACTACACGTGGGAGCTGGCTGGAGGACAAAATGTAAGTAAAAACAACCACTTCCACACCACTGGCTTTTTATACAGAAAAATAACTGATGTAAATGGGGAATCTCTACAGACGGTAAGCATAAAATCCCACATACTACAGCATAATTGTTCCGGAAATAAAATGCCAGGGTTGTTTCTTGTAAATTAGGGATACTAGTGTAGCCTAGAAAACCAGCAATATCTGCGTGCAGTTGGGTTCACGGTGAACTGTGCCCACGTGTGCTTTCGCTGCCAGACCCCGAGAGGTGTTTTTCCAAGGGGGAGGGAAATTTGGTGTTTGCTACTGTATTTTGCCAGTCCTGCTAGCATATGTTCTGCCCAGCAGCCCATGTGCTATTCATGTTGTATTCGTATATATTCTCTCTGTTCTAATCTACAGCTTTTACCGCATTAATTTTTTATTTTCATTCTCTCCTTTCTTTGCCCCAGCACAAAGTCACTGCTTCCATCTGTTCGAGACATGACTGCCTGTCTGTGACGCATGACTGTGCTTCTGCTTGTGGTTCTTAGGGTTGCTAATGCTACTGACTACAGTCAATGAATGATCATTCTTTTACAGGTCAGTGGAATAAGCACGTTAGGAGAAAATATTGCAGATAATGGAGGAGTCCGGCAGGCTTATAAGGTAACTTTCAAATACACTGCGAGCTAACTTTACCCCTGGGATTCAGCAATGGGGTTACCTATTCTGTCATAAAAAATTTGACAATTAACGTGTTATTACCATATTCAAAAACTTAAAGCCTCAATTATGTATCTAGAAGGTTATTTCCCTGTAGACCCAATCACAGCGTAGGACTGCTGGCATTCTTGCACCCAGGAGAAGACCCCCTAACTCTCCTAGCTATGCTTCGACGTACTGCAATGCTTGATGCCGCATACTTCTGTCTCAGCTAAACAAGGGCGGTGTTCATAAATAGGCATAGTATTAGCTAGGAAAAAGGTAAAACACCCTCCATTTTCTAAAGCCCGTAACTCTGAAAACAGCAGCTACAACTTCAAACAGCTTGTCACATGGCAACAGAGCACTAATTTCTTGGCAACACAGTTTGGTGATATTATGAAGCAGAGCAACTGTTTTTTCCAAGTTTATTTCTCTCACGCTTTTCATCTTTGATCTCAAAAGTGACACGTCAGGTAGGATATGAAAAGAATAGATGGAAATACCATCTTTTTCCCAAGAGGGATACAGATCATATCTACCAAAGTACCTGTCTCTAAAAGCCTAGCTCCTTTTGCTGCTTTCTTTATGTGTTTTGTAAGCTTTAGGAAAATAACAAAAAGGAGTCCCTTCTACCTTGCTGCTATTCTTCATGCAGCTAAAAAGGAGAATAAAAATGCAAGGATTGATAATCTCAGAACTGCCTGCCTCTTTCCAAGGTAAAAGGTTGCTTCAACCAGTCAGTTATTCTCAAAAGAAGAGAAATACAACTGGTATTTCAGAGCACTACCGCCCATGCTGTGGTTCAAAAACTTGTGTTGTTCAGCATGGTTTTATCCGTTACAAACACTACTGCCTATCGCCTTATTTCTCCCACTCTACCGGGGGAAGTCAGCTTCCAGACTCAGGGAAGTCCAGTATCTTTAATCCTCCAGGTTTACAAACCATCATTATGAATCGGTATTTATCAGCACAAAGGCTCTTTCCATATAGAGCTCAGGTGTGAGCATGGAATGTTCTTTTCTACGAATAATCCTAACAGGTCTCACGGTAAAACAACTTCTCTCTGGTGTTTTGCATATGGCAACAGTTAAGGGCGTTCATAGAAGAACATCCTGAATTTTCCGAAATCTAAACCGACAATTCTGACTCTGAGGGATGCCATTAAAATTAATTACTTCATTAAAATGAATATGTACTTTGTCCTAAAAGCTATTACAAATGTGGAAGAGTAGTGTGGTGTGACATAAACTGCCTGCATGCAGAATCCTCTCATGTTCTGTGGTGCTGAATGTATTTTTACCCTCAGCTCTACCTTTTATGTTTTGTGTGCTTTGGGACTATCTCAGCAACTGGGAGGATAAGGTGATAGAACGTTTGAAATTAACCAGCAGGAGGACACATTAACTTGTCTCCATTATGTCAATATACCTAAAAAAAGAAAATTGGCCAATTAATCTGTAACAATAATAGGTAATGGATTTAACATTGAGCAAGGTTATTATCTGCTATTTTATGAGCAGTTACCTGAGGAGAGAAAAATCATCACCACAGAACTGTGGAGAAGACTTAACACTTCTCTTCCAGATACAAATTCCTATAGAAAAAGTCATGTGAAAGCTGATGATTTTACTTCAAACTGCAGTCATGGGCATTCAGTCTCCGTAGCATTATTGATTTAATATGTATCAGCAACTATACTTAAACATGATTATTAGCAGTCACACTTTGTCATGTTTGCTCGCTGAGACGCAATAGCAAACTAACGGTCCATCGGGGTAGTGGCATAGCTTTCGCTAAAACGGTGTGTGCCACCCTGCTGGAGAAATTCAGAATACATCTCCAAGTGACTCCATAAAGAACACGCATAGCTTCTTGCCCTGAAAGTCAACTGGCCAACAATAACTACTACTCTAAACTCCACTTCCATATGACAGTTTGGTCTTTTTTCCTGTTTTATAACAGTTTTCAGTTCAGAGGTTACTGTACTTAAGGAGCTGAATGCAAATTATCTTTGTGTTTCATTTTTTTACTAGGAAAGTCAACAGAGTACTTATGTTGACAGCTTTTTCGTAAAGTTAGCTGTACTATTTCTATTAGAAAGATAAAAACTACAAAAATACAGAGGGGAAGACACGTTGGGTTCATATACATTGTGACTAAAATCTCTCCCCCCAAAATAACATTCAAAACACCCATCGTGCCTGAACAGACCATCCTGCTGCTTCTCCGAATTGAATCTGTGATCATTTCTAGGCCTACTTAAAATGGCTGGAACGGGAAGGGAAGGAGCCAAAGTTGCCTGGACTGAATCTGTCCCACAAACAGCTTTTCTTCCTCAACTTTGCCCAGGTAAGAATACTTGGATGCAGCCACTACACGCTGCATGAAAGTGTAAATTGGGTGATCCTAAAGGTTAGAGAGAACATCAGTCCCAAGCTCCACTTGGGACAGTGATTCACGATCAACTGCGCTCATCAAAAGGTCATCAAGACAGATGTGAAAAAGATGGTTTAGTGATGAGAGGACAGTTTTCAGTAACTTTTCTGAGGGCACTACTGAAACCTGCTGGAGTGAGGATACAGAGAAGGAGGGCATCTACCAGCAAAACGGCATCAGACAACTTATGGGGGACAACTGAGCTTGCTGTTTCATGTAAATATAGATTCCACTAACATTTATGAGAAAACTCCTTTTGCTTTTGATACAGACAGGGTTTCATCCATTTTTTTAACATGTGCTGGAGAAAACAATGCCTGAGAAATACCAAGCCAGCAGCCCTCAAACAGGAATACATATTCAGGTCACAGATATTGCTACAGATTCCACTTATCTTCCTCTATACCACTTTATTACAATGCAGAAACAATAAGTTTGCTGAGTTGAATTTCACCCTTCAGCCTGGATGAGAAACTCCCGTATGTTTACACTCTTGGAGTAACAAGTACTTAACAGTAGGTCAAATATTTGACAGTAGGCCAACACACTTAGTGTTGAGCCTCAGACGCTTGGACTTCAGCTCATCTGTTTGAGGAAACACATGGGTGAAATCAAGAGCTAATATATCTATCCCAAAGCATCAGATCTTGATCCAAGAACTTAATACAACAAAAACCAATTGCTAAATAATTGCATCTGTTTTGCCTCCTCTATAAAACGTACACCAACTGTATTGTAACAAATTGGGATGGCTCTTAGGAAAAACTTTGAAAAACAGTGAGAAGGTCCCCAAACTGAATTCCCTTTAATACTGACCCACTAATGATTAATCCTCCTTGTCTAGGTTTGGTGTGGTTCCTACAGACCAGAATATGCTAGCCAGTCAATAAAGACAGATGTTCACAGCCCTCTGAAATACAGGTGGGTTTTACGAACTGATTTACTAATTGATAACTTACTTGGTTCAACCCATTGCACCAATACAGGGCAAAAGGAGAGATCATTGCTAGCAGCTATATTCTACCAGACAAGATGAATCTAGACTAACTTTCAGAAGTTCTCCCGTAGCTGGTAGGACACTGCTGAAGAGAACATTCCTTTACTTGGCCTGGTAAATTTGCCAGTTAATAGAGAATGGACCAGAAGCCGCTTACTACATGCTCTGTTTGTTCTAGCATTTCATTAGTCATATTAGCTATATTTTTCTTGCATAAAGTATCCCATATTCCAAGACTGTAATTGAGTTATGAGACTCTAAATCACTTCATGGACATGGCTTTCTGTTTTCCAGAGCAACAATCTCCACGCACTGTATCCATGTAAATAAGTTCCTTCTCTTTGTTTAGGGTGATGGGATCTTTGCAGAACTTCGAAGCATTCTCAGAGGCGTTCCACTGTAAAAAAGGCACAGCCATGCATCCCGCAGAGAAATGCAGAGTGTGGTAACCAAAAAGAACACTGGTGAGAATGACGCATACTCTGGCGACACAACAAACAGGTCTTGCCAATGACGTGCCTGATGTCCTCCCATTCAGTCACAGCCAAGGTTAATGGTGCAGCTACTGTAGTGAGAATCAAGGAAACGACGGCACGCAAGCGCGTACAGTGCCACTGGGAAGCGCGCAGGTATCTCAGCGACTGATGGGCTGTGCTGAAAGCCACAGCGTGCTCCAGACCAGAAACGACTGTTTCAGATGACATCCTGACTGTTATTAAGATACCACATCAGGGTTACAAAGACTAAATCTTAAATTAAAAAAACAACAAACTATATATCTATTTTTCAGAAAGGAACAATGATTTTAATATGTCTTACAACTACGCTTTCTGAGACTCAGCAAACCTGCTTGAAATGTTTCACTGAACTGTTTTCCAGTATTCTGATTCCGTTTCTGGTGCATTCTTCCCAAATTCAGGTTAGAGCTAGTTTAAACTCTCGCGCCGTCTGTATACTTGCACTTTGATTACCGTTTTGTTGTAAGAGATTGCTATTTGTCTTGATACGTCACAAAGTGAGCTGTATGTGAAGATGCCTGCGGCTGCTAACTTAATGCAAAGCTGCACTCTCCTACTGCACTTGAGTTCCTCTGCTCCAAAGAACAACTCTAACATGACCTTAAAGTGAGGTATTACTAGGTAGAAAGATCACATTTTTAGCAGTACAAATTCTGTTGTTACGGTTAAAATTACAGGGTCCCTCCCTTCAGAGATCTATTTAAAATGATGCTTATTCTTGTAGAAAGTGTATAAAATCCTTTTTGCTAAATAGCGAACATGTATCCATGGAAACAATTAAGCTGTTTTTAATCCTGTGCCTTTTCATTTTGCCGTAGGCTATTTTTCAGTATTTACACTTGAAAATGTAACAAGTATTAATTTTTAATTAAAAAAAAAAAATCATGGTAGCCAATTCAGCAAGCATTTTACTATAGAGTTTTGGCTGGCTTTCCTCAGTAAGCATTCTAATATAATGATAATATTTTAAACTGCCAACACTTAATAGTGAATTTTAAACACTCTTTTCGCAAACGCTTTTCTTTCTAGCACAGAAATGACTGGAAAGCAAGATAGTAGCTACTAGTGCTTAGCTTACGAAGTGCCAAATCCCACTATTCGTTTGCTTCACAGATTTCCTTAGCGCACCACTAGCAAAGGTTTGACTATCTAAATGACAGGGAAGGAAATGAAAATCACTTAACGGAAGCAGCTTTGCCATAAGAGATGGCCCACTGAATTATTCTGGCCATCTGACAGTAAGAGCTGGCCAAATCACTGAATGAAACCCTCCTGATTTTTGCATGAATTTTACCTGCTAAAGTGAAATCAGTCTACAGATAAATTGCCGCTTTTACTGCAGCTGAGAATATATAGTTCAATTAGAGAACATATAGTTCAATTACTTTTTATTTCTATCTTAAAAGTAATCTTGGAAGATAACTTTCTCAGAGAATCAGTGCTACCTCAGGGATTAACCACTGTTCTATGCCCTTCGCAGTTTGAGAGTTAAGTACAGAAGGAGAATAAGTAGTAAGAGGCTTTAGTTACAAGTTTATTTAATCTCTCTTCAAAAGACTAAGAACAGACTGTTCAGCACCCAGCAGTAGAGTTGCCTACTGCAAACAAATACTACACAAAGCATAAAATTTGGCTTTCAGTGCAGTTAATAGGAATAGAAAAAGTGTTTCACATCTAATCTTCTCTATGCTGCACCTCAGATGGCTAGATATACAGACCTCTTTGAGAGAACGCAACCTGAATCACATTTGGGTTTTGTGTTTATTTCAGCTACATCTATTACCTGAGGAGAACTGCACTTGACCACATGAATTCTAACAAAGATCCTGATTCAAGGCAGATTAAGTGGGAGGGAAGGATATTTTTTTCAGATGGGAATTGTTGGATTCACATGTATTAAGTGCCTGAAAGCCTTAGGATTGACCCACACTAAAAAACAACAACAAAAAAATGGTGAATAGGAGAGTGCACTAATGAGCTCTGAGAGCCCTTTTTCAAAAAAATAAAAAGTTATAGCAGTCTACCCTAGGATTAAGCTCCCCTTTAAGTGACTGATAAGCTCTTAAAGGCAGCCTGGAGGTACAGAACCCGGCACGTATGTGTCCTCCTCACGCCTCCATGCAGTTTGAAGCGCTTCAGATGTTAAAACTTTTGGTTCTGCTGAGACACAAGATGTGTATTTCCTGTTAGATAGTCGGATAAGGTACTGTGCGTTCCTGGTACTTTACCTCAGATCTGGATTAGTTTAGAATACACCCCCCCCCCAAATTCACAGTAGTATTACTATACTTAATGCTTGTCCATTTTGGTAAGTCCCAGTTCTCTCTGATACTGAACACCAAAACCTTATGAAGTCAGACTTCATAATGCTACTAGAAGACAAGAGGAGCAATGTCATATAATATTATAGTAAATCATCCGTGCGACTGAAAAGATTAACAAAGAGGATACAAGTTAAAGCTAGTTGGGAGATAATACAGACTCTGTAAAACACAGATGGACAGTAACTAATTTAGACATTAATCAAGGTTCAACTCAAACTAGGACTGACCATGAGCTTTTGGCTCCATCCAGGACTACAACCACATAGTTAGGTTACAGATGTAGCAGCAGATTGGTGACGTTCTGATGTCCTAAAAGGCTTCATGCCAATTATATTATTTTCTGCCTACCATCATTAGGGAGGTAAGAGGCCAATAGATGGGTGATCTGGTGAGAATTACGAAGCCTAAGTTCTGCATAACAACAGTACTTTAAGATGTTTGCAACTGGATGTTGAAGACAAGCCTAATTATGTTCCATTCTGGGTTTTGTTCACCTTAAAAGAGTTTTGGCTCTTAAATTAACCAAATGCTTATGTCCCGTGCCTTGTTAAAACTGTCACACAGACTAGGTTTGTATTTGCTCCTGGATTGGACTGGACACATAATAGGCTAGGGACTTTATTTTTCTAAACTGCTCTTTATCTGTATAAAAACTGACACGATCTACAACCCTCCTTAGTATGAAATGCTGTCCAAGCTTTGTTCTGGCCATTAAGTGAGGTTCACCTTTCTCATCACATCTAAAACTGATGTTCACAGAACAATCATTTGACTACCATTTCCTACTGGAAGGATTTTAATTTGTTTTAACATTAAATGACAGGTTACAAGACAGTCAAGTGCTCTGATAAATCAGCTTTTGTTACTTAATTATTTGTGTATGGTGGCAGGCAAAATAAACTGTATTTAACTGCATTTTGTCTGTCTTCACTTACTCAGATTTTCCATGCCAGAATGCATGCATACAGTAAAGCTAAATTTCAGAGCCAGGTAATAAATCTTCTTCCCCTGTGCAGCTGATATTTTCATGTGGCACATCCAGTAAGCTATGCTGGCCAAAGTGCTTTTCTTTCCTCTGTCCTCACATGCCTTTAAAAGCCAGGTGTTTACAGTGCAACTCTCCAAGAGAAGTGTCCTGGCCTGAGATGCCTTTAATATTTGCCCCCTACGTATCACAGTAACAGACACCTATCTTTTCAGCTTGTTCTGAGAAAAAGGAGTTATCCTCGGACTCCTCAGGGGAGTCCTGCTATGCTGTGAACGTACAATTCCTTTTGCCAGCTTCCCCTCAGAGGCTCATCCTAACAGTTAGGTCTAGATTAGCATGACAATCACAGATTTCATAACAAGTTCAGGGAGTTTGCCTGCCATCGTGAAAATGTTTTTATTGTAGGGTTATTAAGAAAAGAGTGACATTTTAAATACTACACGGTTCAATAGTTTAACTTGTCTATTAAGTCACCAGTAATCGTACCTCAGGTTAAATTACAATTGGAATTCTTCTTTAGGGACAGAAAAGTTAGGTAGCCTACATCTTTTGGCAGCAGAATATCAGAAAAAGGAGCAAATTTGAAGAGGAACTTTTTAATGTAAAATTAAGAGATACTATGTATGAAGGGAAAAAAAAGAAATAACACAAACTATTGATTGCCACTATGAACAATATCACAAAGGATAGAACCTAGCACAGTATCTTTCACACAGAACACTTACTCATATTTGCAGTATTCCAACTATCATACAAGACCACTAATGCAAAAAGGCAAGTTTACCGCAAATAGGGAGTAACAGAACAAAGACAGTCCTTGCCAGCTTCATTTTTGCTTAGGTATTTCATGCTCCTGGTTTTTGTTATCAGATGTAGACTTTTTCATTGCACTGCAAGAAATACAGAAGTAATTACAGTTGGGGAGCAGGGTGTATAGCCACTACGTTCCCAGCATGCTGGAAAAGTCCCTTGCTCACAAGACAGGTCACAAGACAGGCACAAGAACAAAAGCATGAGATTACGGAAGAAGAGTCAAACCCAACGTTGTGACTAGTAATACAGTGCTATTAACTGTTTTAATTGGACTGTAACAGCTGCAAGTATACTACAAATATTACAGTAATATTAACTTAGCGTGTACTCTACAGATAGCAAATGGTCCTAGGGCTAGTCAGATTTGCATGCAATCCTTCTCTAAAAGTACAAGTTATTGTCCTTTGTTACCACAGTCACAGGACAGTTCTGGCCTTGAGAATTGCATTCTTTTATATTTGGGCACTTAAGTCTTTGCAGAAGGACTATGAAACTGTCTGACACTGGACTGCTAGGCAGTCACTGCCTACCGTGAGGGAACTCAGGAAAGCGACAGAAGTATTTATATGCCAAGCAAGGGAAACGGCACACAGCCGTGCAGAGGTCAGGTGGAGGAGGTTCACATGGCTGACAATTTAATTACTCTGCAAAATCATTAAGCTCTGGAGATGTGCCATTAGAAGTTCTGGCACATGCAACTGCTAAAGGGATAATTAAAATGTGCCTGGGAGGTTTTATTCCAAGTTATTATTACAGCACATGGAAGTTACTTTATTTTTTCATGTAAGTTTATTACGCCTCCCACC